CGACGTTTCGGATGCTTTGCAGCAGCCGTGGTCACGGGGAGACAATCAATTCATTTTCAAATAAGTTTAACTAATATATCGCGTTTTAAACCGTTATAGTGTTTTATTTAAATGTGTACTACTCGCGTAAACTATAGACAGTATTTTTTATCCTAAACAATGTTAAAATAACACAGTTTAATAAAGAAACTCTCACGTCTTGAGAGACTAACTGTTATCCACGACGTAGTCCGACGTTGTTCTTGTTTTAAGATCAACTCAATCTTTAAAGAAAGTGTCGTGGACATTTTTATCATTTAAAGAAGAATCATTTTTTCATACATATTGATACTGTTTAATACATATTGGTTTCTTGAACCATTTCCGCAGCGCACGCAACCGAAGCCCCCCCCTCGGGGCACCCTTGGTCTAGCCGCAAACACGGCGAGCGCTAACGCGCTCGCCCAAAACGCCCGGTTAGTATTCGTGGCTCCTTAGGAACACAATACGAAGTAGTCAAAAAAAAAAAAGCAATGGAAGCCCTCAAAGATGAACTATTTTTGTCGTTTTTTACTACATTTTTCAATGTGACCATTCGAACCAGTAGTTCCTGACATTATCACAAAAAGCTACTACTACTTAGCTACTTACCAATTTATGTAACTGGAGAGTAAGTTATCACTGAACTTCTATTCTGACTGTATCTATCTTGTTCGAATAGGCTCTTGCACCTAACAACTGAAAGAGACAAAAAATACAGCCGTCTTAAAGCAAAACAATCGTATAGCTATTTTAATAAGGCATATTTTCTCTTACTTGTGACTTAATAGTGATTTACTCGTAGAAGAAATCTTACTTGAAAAAGATCGGCTAACAGACTCGTACATACCGATAATGGCTAGCGGTATTTTTTATTCTAACAGAACTGGCTTTGTGTAAGCCGCGTTCCTTATACGGCGTTGTGTCTTCGTCAACTGTGGTCAAAATCAAGTTCAGTCAGGATTCTTAGAACGGTTATCGGAATTTGAGGTCATTCTTGATTTAATGTCCCTTTATTCCTGTATTCGTGATTAACGAAAGGACATTAACTTATTCTTTTTTCTATGGTAGGATTAAAGATTTTCATTGTTTTTCCACAATAAATATAACATCAATTTTAGTGAATAAAATATTGACAGGCTGGTTGGTGTAATGACAATAATGTAAGGCTGGTCAATATCGAGCTGTGACTTCGATCCCCAAGGGATCCAACACGTTCCTTACCAATTTATGATTTTTCTGTTGTTGGACTTCGTCTGAACATCTATATTACATGGGTGGTATCGAAATTTCGTCCGGGTCACGAACCACCGTTCACAGAAAAAGCCGTTAAGTTTAATTGCGTTTCAGTCTGTGGATTTATAAATATTCAAAGCCAAAATCGGTCGATAGTGCATTTTATTGAGTCGCATGTTATATAGCTGGAGTATTTGTCCTCATTTAACATACAATATCCAAAAATTGTAAATACAAATTTGTCTTCAATGATCAATTAATTCTAGACGATTTTTTTTTCGTGATAGAAATAGATATTTTATTATACTATGGGTTTAATGGAACCTCCTTATAACATATACACTAAACATATATTTTTCAAGTAAGCAATTCTTTTAGCAACGGAAAATATACAAGTTTAACCTTTATATTGATTTTAATAGGTCAACGCGTCGTATTATGTCAACATATTGTGTGTACCTAATGTCTAACCTTATATAGTGATCTTGAATATTCAACTGAAGCGTAGGTTTAAATAAACGAGAATGACCTTAGCTATAGCTAATGCAGACGAACTGGGTAAATCATACGATAGTTCTTACGTCTTTTTGTCTGGACAGTTATGGTACAATACTAAGTTACAGTAGTAAGAAAGTAAAACTACATATTTACTTACGTTTAAAATTGGGTTTTGATCGTTAATGATCTAGATAATAAAATACAACCTTAAATAAATCTAAACAAAAGTAAATTTTCCAATTTAGTGTAGGGGTAACACTTTCCATACTATTTTATTGATATTATTTATAATTTTCCCACAGATCATAAAACAGCTATACATGATTATTAAACTTAGAAAATATAAATCTCTCTAGACAAACGACTAACGGCACTATCTCTATATTTGTACCCTAGCAAGGTTTCACTCGAGTTTTGGAGCTTACCATTTTTGTAAACGACCACGCACCTCAAAGTACGAAGCTTTGCCAAGCAAAAAACCACAGTTTAGTGCCAACTATAATAGTGTTTGTACCTTTTTCATTTAAAGTAAGTAATTACATAACTAATTTAATACCAAGTAGTTATTTGATCATCAATGTTATTTAAATAAAACTTTCAATACTCGTTGGTTATTAATTAAAAAGTATATATGGTTTTAAATTAAACACTAAACGGTTTAAAACGCGAAGTATATTTGTTTACTTGTTTTTTATTTATGGCCATAGCGGAGCACTTTTGCCTATGGAATTAGGGAGTACCCTCCATCTTAAGTGACGCTGCAAAGCAATGTGATCATGAGGCAATTAAATAAAAAATAAATTACCGAATATATTTCGAGTTTTAAAGCGTTGGACGCATTCAATTTAAATGTGTACTACTCGCGTAAACTACAGACATTACTTTAGCTATAGTTGTAGTTAATTTTATTTAAAAAAGGCATAGAATTACTTGTGATAAAGATTGTTAAAGGATTGTTTTATCATACGTTGACTTTTAATAACGCTATGTACTCAAAGTGCAGTATAAAAATGTATTAAACAGGCAGATGAGTTGGATATAAAGTATGTAAAATATGCCATAGAAAAAAAAACAGTATTGTTTGTGAAACAAAACACCAACCTAGATTAAAAACACAGACCACAAGCGGCTGTGATGCAAGTAATTGTGATGTGTTTAACAGACTATAATTATACATAATGTAATGTAAAACATATTTGTGTTACTAGTTATTCTCTCTGTTGGGATACAAGCTTTTGAAAATGTCCACGAGCGAAGAAGAAATTGTCAGAACTAATATAATAGGTCTTTTTTTGTCGATATAACATTTTTTTGTACATACCCAGTAAATAAAATACTTTAACGGTTTAAAACACTAAATGTGTTAGTTAAACTTATTTACAATTAATTATAACTACGTCGCCGCCGCGCCAAGGCAAACTTACTAAAACTTCAGTCGTAGTTCAAATAAATTATAAATAAGTTTAACTAATTATCTCGTTTTAACCGTTAAAAGTGCTTTCTTTAAATGTGTACTACTCGCGTATACAATATGTACGCAAATAGTACATAGCTGTAGTACATTGCCAGAAATGCCAAAATAACAAATTTAATACTTGTACTATAAAGCCAAGTTTTCTTTAAACGTTTTTGACGTCACCTTTCCATTCCTAAACTAAACTAACGTGAATAAATACAGTGTTTAATCATTGGTCGTATTATGCTTCGCATATAGCGTAGGATGTAGGTTGTTACATGACCATAATCATATGAAACAAACGCAACACATACTTATATGTGCGATAAACCAGTAGTTTTCGATAAGCCACTTTCTTAATGCTTTAGAGGTCATTATTTATCAGTACCTATTAGGAATCGTATACATTCTTGCACACAGTACAAATTAAGATATGAATGACTACAAATAGTGAATCTTAACTCTACTGTAGTGTGTAGTACTTTATATGTGACAATTTTAAAATATCCGAAGCCACAATAAGTCGGTAGCACATCTCGCTTAGTTGTTATACGGCGGTATTTCACCTCTCATCAAGAGAAGAAACAAGCAAGGGGGGTTTGCTTGTTTCTTGTTTCTTGCTCTATATAAAAAAATGTAATAACGAAGGGCGAATAAAATTGTATCTCCAATATACCAAACGTGACTTTAAGTTCCGCTAACTTCATGGCATAGGTAGTATTAATAAAATGACATTCCTCAATTGAGCTGTGACGCGTCGAGATCACAAATTGGCGCCAATTTGAGTCTCCGGCCTCCGGCTGACTCACGGTTATCGCAAGTGTCCAGGGAACATGGTTATGCATATGTATATGATATGCTGCGAAGAGTGAATCAGTTTTCTGTGCCTTGCTCGGCCAAAACAATTCCTTCCCGGGATTTGAATCCAGAACCCCTCGCGCTTAAGATAATAAGTAAATGGCTGCAAAAGCGTTCAACGTTTCGCTAGCTATACCTTAAAAACACTAGCGTAGAAGGTAATTTTTCTCATTTGCAAATTTCGTTCTGCTTTCAACCTATTGCCAACCGTTCGTGCTGCCTTCTAAATTTGTATTGAAGAAAACCCCTGGGTAATCATTGAATAATGTTCCCTCTTCATGTACATCTTTATATAACTAGCTGCTATACTTTTTTACCGGACACAAAGCATATTGTATAACTTATGTATATGTTAACATCGAAAGTAGGGCCGTGGTCCATGTAATATGGTTATAGCTCATTGCACTTTGTGATTAAGCGTCTAGCCGTATCAAGTTGAACCCGTTTGATATAGACTTTAATCCTATTACTAGCTTAGTTTGTTTACTATTTTTATTATACTAATCTTGTTTCCCAGCATTTCGTTAAGTTTGAATTTCTTAAATATAATTGTTTCAGACAGGACACAAAAATCTAATCTAATACTTACCTGTAAATAAGATAATTAAAACAAATGTTAACTCTTGGGATTTCACATTACAAAACGTCACGAGCAGTTGAAATTATGAAGACGACGCTATTTTTTACTCTTTCTCATCTATAAATACACAATTCGAACGGCTCTGTCAGCTTTAGATAATCTACTTAAAAGATCAGACAAACGTAATATTAGCCCAGTCGGTACTCATAGCACGTGACATTTATCTTTAATTAATGAATCGTAAACATTTTCGGCGTCCTCACATATTGCTGGTTTTGGCCGGAACGTATATCTATAATTCATAAATCTTTAGTTGATATATTGTTTTTTAAAGATTGTTTCATTTTTTTTCAGGATGTGGTGGACAATCACGGGAAACTTCGGAAACATCCTACCAATAGACTGGACTAAATCGTTTTCACGAAAAATGCACATTCCCACTCTAAATCTGAGCGATAAGAAGGTAGTATATTTAAAAATTTTATTACATGTTTTTATGTACACATTTGTTAAAAAATGGACCATCTTCATAATTAAATCCAGTTATTTCTATTCCTAATTTCTTCGTTGGATTTTACTTTGATAAATTAATGGTAACATATTTGTCTTTAATTATTTAATGTTTTTAGTTTATTTCCTGTTACTTACGTCCCCAAGCCTTGATTAAAAGTACCTACATTTTAAAACATAATTGAGAAATTTGAATTCCCAAAATACTATGGCCTTGACACGCCGAATATCATAAAAATGTTTAAGAAAATAATGCAGTGCTCCTGAAATAGTCCCTCTGCGCGTGATTCACGGCTGAACTCATTTCGCGGCGTAATTTTGTTTAAGGTCACTCTTATGATTGTTACACTGGCTCCCATTTATCTTGTATGATTTGCATCTATTCGAACATTGTATCATCTGTTTTCATCTTGGTGTTTAATTTCCTTCTTCCTACACACGTACATTCCATTATTAGGTAGTAATCATTATGTTTAGCATTTTTGAATAAATATGAACTAATGTTACAATGCTTTAAATTTTTTGTATTCGTTCTTGTTTTTTTTAAGAGCACAAGTTTTAAAATCAACATGTTATTCTCCATTTTCAGAGTGCCATGACCCCAGACGATGAGATCCATAGCTCAGAAGATGAAGCTGTAGCGTCAGACCTGGACATGCACGCGCTTATTCTGGGTGGTTTGCATCAAGACCACGAGTGTCCCGTTAAAACAGCTGACGAGGTAATGTAGTCGAATAAGAGTTCTGAAGATTTCCATGGATTTTCAAATATGATCTAATAAGATGACAGTAACTTAATTACTTGCCTATACTTTTCTTCGGATCACGATAATAAATTTAACAAAATCCAATAGGTGATTCAGGAAATTGATGACATGATGCAAGAGACGCCATCGTCTGAAGGAGATAACATCATAGAGTACAACGAAGCTTTGGAGAAGGGAAAGGAAGTCCTCAACTCGCCCCTATATGAAGACAGTAAGTGTCCTTTAACAAATGAATTCTTGCCAACTTGTCAATTTTAAACAAAAGAAAATAGTTATATAACGCGTCGGAAGAATCTAGAACCCCAATTTAGGGATGTCTATCTGAAAACGGGCTCGATGTCAGTTGCTCAAATTGCGACAGATCCCAATGTACTAACTACAAGCTTATATTGTATTTTTACTAACTTGGCATTTTTGGTAAACAAATACAATGTTCATAAAATCCTGATTTTCTGCCGAAGTTTACATTGGTTTACACAAAAAGACTTTGAGACACTGGATTATAAAACGAATGATCTACCTCACTTAGTCAAAATTTGGTTGAGGTCGTTCGATATAAATTGAATATTTTCTTTATATCTGTGTCATATGCGGCATCAACTTCACTCTATAAAAGGTTATCACTAACTCTGTGGTTTTAAATCGGCCATATTTGTTGTAGTCTTTTGCCAAGTTAGAAAAAATACACTAAAGTATTCCAAAAACAATCCAGTATTCCAAATTCCTCTTTCGCTCATCGTAACGCTGTCAATGCGTTCAACAATTAAAACTGGTATATATACACAGAATCCTTATAGATACGTAGGGAATATACACCCCGACTTCCATATCAACAGAAATTCACTACACAATTGTAGTGCAGTAACAAGTGTTCGTGCATATTCGTCATTTGACGAGCTCTTAAACTAAGGAGCGTCTAGACACCCTTGTTTAAAGGTGATTTCTTTTGTCGTGTTCTTAGTGCGGTAATATTATAGTTCCTGAAAACCAACAAAGCTTTTAGCGGCCTTTCATGCAATGCAATTTGACAAATTTATACTAATTTTATAAAGCTGAAGAGTTTGTTTGTGTATTTGTTTGAACGCGCCCATCTCAGGAACTACTGGTTATAATTGAAAATTATTTTTGTGGTGGATAGACTATTCATCGAGGAAGGCTTTTGGCTATATACTATCACGCTGTAAAAACGGGGAAAGTCACTAGACAATTATAAAAATATTCGATTATAAATTTTAATTCAAAAACAGCGAACAAATCCGTATAATATGTTCGAAGATCCTAAAGACAATTTTGATTTATTTCTAATCTATCAATCTTTTTATATTTTTACCACGCATCATTTGTTTATATTTTTTGATTAAATACGACTTTTATTTTCTTTACTAAAAAGCTACTTTAAATATGTCTGTTAGTGTATTTCTGTCGACTTTAGCATTAAACCCAGTAAGCTTGGCCATAACTAATGGTCTGCGACGTGACCATGTCGTAACGACGGGCGTCTAAAGATGAACAATACTTATTTGGGTCAAAATTATCAATCACCTGCGCCTTCGCGGCTCTCATAAATACTGTATGTTATATTGACGCACAACAGACAGACATATAAAGAACATATAATGTAGATTTTTATGGATCTCCCGCGCTTACCGCGTTTTACTTAACCATTTATTAACTAAAGTGGTTTCAACGACATCATAGGTATAAAATACTAACATTTTTTGACACAAACGTTTAGTTTCTTCAAGCAAAAAAATTTACCATCACCTTCCAACGGTGTAAAATGAGAAATTTATTTAAATATTTTATTCTACATACAATTTCTTATCGATTCGCTTTGTATATTATATTTTTTTATTAAAAACAATACGATAAAAGTGCTGTAGTCTGCACAATTATATAGCATTGTTCTTCGTTGACTATGAAATTGATACTTTAGAACTTACGTGGAATTATATCGCTGGATCAGAAGTGGGCGAAATCCGATTCAGTTCAAATTCTAGGAACACGATACCGATTATACTGTCATGATTATTTCAAAATAAATTTGCATTTTAAAGTACACTTACGTATGTATTTAAGAAAAAAGAAATTGAAATGTAATCTTTATTATGAATGTTTAGAACATTATATAAAAAAAAATTACTTGGCTCACTTGTTTGAACAATAATAGTTCATATGTAATATGTATATATATAATATACTAATATTTTAAAGCCGAGGTGTTTGAATGGGTTGGATAATTATTTTACGAAGTAGGCTTACACTATAATATTGCACTGCGGCCTGTAAACAAACAGTGGACCAATTTATTCATCCTTGAAGGCTTCCGTTGCGTGTGTTGCGAAACATTTCTAAAAAACAAAAATATACATGAAAGAATGATTCCTTTTTAAGTGTTCCTAAAAAAATGTCCGCGATAGTATATTCCGGCTTCAAAATTAAGTCGCAACAAACGTGTTAATGGTTATTAAATTTGGTCGAAATAAATGCATTGTTACCATTTTTTTGTATCAATATAAATTTTGCAAACAACAAAACAATGTTTTGCGAATCAGCTAGCATTATATAAATGTGCATAACATAGCATTCATGCCTACATATAAATTCAATTCATGTGGGACGGTTGCTACACTCTCACATACAAATTAATCATCGTGTTGGTCATTACGTGTGCTTAATCATTAAATAGAAATTATTTTAATCAATGGCTTTAAGTTAATTCATATCAAACAAAGATAGACTAAATAATTAAAGTGGAACAACTTTACATCTTTAACCTCTATAGCCAAATGGTTAAACGCGAGAAATCGTAGGTTCAATTCGCGATTCCCATGGGGAAACACGGGAGGTCTCACAACAAATATACAAACGTCTAATTATTATAAAAAGCAGTTACTTTTCAAGTTTAATGGCCATGGGAGCTTATATAAACTGGTTTGAGTTAAGGCAAGATAAACCAAAAACGGTGACACCAAAGGGATTCTAATTCCGTACTAAAATATACGCTTTCTTTTAAACATATCACTCTCGTAAATACTTGATTCAATAACACTAATAAATGCGTGAAGAAACTTTAATCTAAAACTAAAACTAGAATCTTTTTGAAGAGAAATGTAGAAAAATCGTGGAAGACGAAAACCTAAATATTATCTAAACAAATAACGAAAGAAAAAGTGTGAAATACCATTTCCTCCTATGAGATCGGCATTTTTGTGTCCGTTTCAGTGAGAGATTATTTGCAGGCAAATTCATCGTCAGACCAAACCAATTTATAGTCCCCCCCGCACTCACCTCCTCCTCCCCCTTTCGTACTTAGGACCTCTCGTACTTAACGCATAGTCCTAAGTACAGAGTCCAGTTCGTTAGTAGGTGTTTTATCGTATATTCTACCTTCCAGAGCTTCGTCACCTGTCCCTCGCGCAGCTGAACGAAATTTTTATGGAGCTAGAAGTGCTGATCCGCGAATTCTCCGAAACCCTGATCGCTGAGCTGGCGCACCGCGACGAGCTCGAATACGAGAAGGAATTGAAGAACACGTTCATATCACTGCTCCTGGCTGTCCAGAACAAGCGGCGGCAGTTCCACATTGAGAAGAAGAAGCGAAATGGTTCGCAACGCTCGCCGGCTCTTGGACTTAACAGTTCTGAACCTAAAGTAAGTTTGGATACCTTTAATTAACTTATGGATTATAATTTATATTAAAAATCGATTATAATTTGTGTCGGAAAACCGTGCTTTAACCAATTGAGCTACCGAGTTCTACACGTCGTCATCGAAGTTTTTCAACCTATTGATATGTTTGTTTTTCAGTATCTGACAACGGTGATACCTTTTCATCTTCACAACGGACCTCCAGACAATCAGTCTCTTCAAGTCCTAATTAAAAGTAAGTTATTTTTCTAATATACAACAACGTGCTAACAACTTTCACATTTTGTTAAGAAACTATAGAAAGAAATAAACTATAAATTCATAAATATTGAACAAATTTAAAACTATAATATCGTTTAAGTAATCATTTACTTTTTCAGTTCTGAAGGCGATAAACGAAGATAGCCCAACTGTACCGACTCTCCTCACTGACTACATACTCAAAGTTCTGTGCCCGACATAAATTGACTAACACTTAGCAAATTACAAGTAAATTCGCAATTATATAGTCTACCGTTCTACATACAATACTGTACAACTCGATGAGGAGGGAATATCCATTTTCCTCCGCAGATGGAAAAGCTGGCAAGTTTAATCGCGTTTCGGTGTCAGTCTGTGGATTTCCGAATATCCAAAGCGACAATAGGTTGATAGCGCGTTCTAAACAAGATGATATACGGCTGGGATATATCTCCTACCATCAAATGATCTCAATGCTTGCCTGTACTCCTATATCATTAAAAAAACCTTGACAGTACTACAAACAAACAGATGACTAATACATAATTGAAAAAGGTTTCATGTATAATTGCGTATTTAATATCTTTACTTTGATAGTTAAACAGATGTAACCGAAAATTATTCTCACATTTGAATTAATAATAGTTAAAATAATATTCATGAATTTTATGATAAATGACTTTTAAAATTTGAATCAACTGCCTATTTTAGCAGGAGTTAGGATTTATGCTAACTTCTATTATTATTTTTTGCATTATCAATCGATGTATTTAGAATATTATTAGTTTTATCTATATCGCCCCGGTGATTATGTTGTACGCCCATAATTAATAACATACTGTATTTATGAGGGTAGTTGCAAATTTTAATTAGACATAACTTCGGGCGTTAATTGATTTGTTTGAGATCAATATCACAGCTATTATTAGCTTATAAAATTCTAATTTAGGCGATTGTGATAAGGGGTAACCGCTTGTGGCTAACATTCGTTAAGCCAGTATAGTATCAAAATCAATTTTACTTTTTTGCATAAATGAACTGTGATATCGTTTAGATTTTTAATTAATGCTTCCTTTTTTAGATTTTAATTATTTAAGTTGATTTCACATTAATCTCATTTCGTCTCTTATTTGATGAGCTCATTGAATCGATTTTATTGTACATATAAAAATAATGGAATTGTATTTCATAATGATAAGTATCGCGGTGCGAGAAGAGGCTTGTATATATTTTATTTTGTCTATGTCTATGTATAGAGCTATTTCTTTGGATAGTGTATTCGATGCGTGTTTGAATTTTTATATGATTAATCTGGACCTTGTTTGAAAGCTTTACTTAGAATTTAATTTGACTAATTTAAAAATTTGTATTTTAACCTCGGTATAAGTAGCGGCACGGATCTTTAGCGCTGAACGAATCCTGCGTAGAAGTCAAAAATAAGGTATAGCATGGACGGAAGCGGGCGCGGGGCGAGCGAGCGTCATGTGCGCTAGCGTTGATTGGTTCCCCCGTCGTGTTGTCTTTCTCGGATCAATACGACGCTTCGCTTGCATCTCGAGTACAGTCACGTTTACCAATCAATTACGTGCGCGAAAGTACAGATGCGCAACTATCCCGTCTACACTTCGGGCAGCGCTAAACATCGGTCCTGCGACCTATAACAGTTTTAATGTGGGATTTGAGCAAATTAACTATAGAGTTAAGTACGCAATATTCTGAACGAAAAATACAAATGTTTGCGTGCCTAAAAAAAATATATTTGGCCAGTTTTATTGTAAGTTTTTAAAAATAAACTTTATAAATGCACTTTATTTGTATGTTAGGTTCTAAGACTTATATCTAGTCTCAACAATTTTTAGTCATAATTTTGTTAATTGTTCTGTACTTTGCTTATGTTCGATAAATAAAAGCACTTCTAATTTGAACCTTTAAAAATCGTTATAAGGTGACATAAGCAAAGGACAGTTGATATTAAGTAAGTTAAGAGCCCTAGAATGACGGTTTACTTTAAAAGATTTAGAAAAGCTTTCGTCGCACACTTGAACTAGTAGCAACACCGATTGTTGTCTGTAATCTATGGAATGATGAAAATAAACGTCGTCTTATATAACCAACTTCTTTTATTTAACTGACCTTATTATTTTCCCCCCCCCTTTCAGCAGTACTAAACCATCAAAATAGGGTTTTAGTAAGAAGAAAGTTTTCAGTGTAACAAAAACTAGTTTAACGTAGCACTAAATAGTTTAATTCTTACTATAGCAGTATTTTTAAGTAATCAATATCAATAAAAAATAACCAGAAATGTTTCATGTTAAAGACAGGCAATTTAAAACGTTTAATGAACGGTTTAAAACGCAAAATATATTAGTGGTAATAATATATTAATACTTTATTTAATACATTTTATAATTTAATTAATACATTTTACATATTACACTGTTAAAAGTATATTATGTTAATGTACACTACTCGAGTAAAATACAGACAATATTTTATATTTCAAGCGTAAGGGACTTACTTAACGGGCCATAATGGAATCTGGCCCTAGTGGAGGGAAGTACGTACGATAAAGTAAATACTTCGAGTAGTTGCAAATGGTATTAAAATTTTATATAGAAATATGGTTAAAGTAATTCAATGCCAGTGGTGTTATTTATCCAGGATAAATGTCGCTGAACCCTCGTAAACATGGAGGGTAACTGGTCGTTGCATCCTGTAGCGTCGATTATGGTCGCAACACCAATCTGTAATCATGAAAACATTTGTAAGACTACGTAGCATTTTGTTTAAGGGCGATACATAGAGCGTTTGTTTAATTGGGATTCGAACCCAGGACCTAATTGTAATATGGGATTTAGTTACGGTCTAGTGGGGCATGACTAATCTATTACTTGGATGTAATTGAAGTCGACTCTTCTATTCTCTTCTACTTGATGGAAGGTGAAGTAACCCAGCTATGTAAGATCTCAGCCAGACAAAGTCTAATATGCGTCAGAAGAACTATAAATTAATGAGAAACGTTGGACCTGGTAGGGATCGAACCAACGGCCGGTTGATAATAAACCATACAGCCATGGTAGCAATACCATTAGATTAACGAGGCTGTCAACATACACCTTAAATGTCAGTATATGATGCAAAAAAGACTAACCAAAATCTCTTCCCCCGTTACGTGATAAACTATCGTCAATGGTCCGCCGTTGTCACCCTGAAAATTGTTTTATTAATAATTAATTATTTGTTTAATGAAATCAAATCTTTGATATGTTGTCATGTTATATGTGAACGCGGTACACTGTTTTAACAACACGAATCCTTCAGGATATTGACCTAAATCTTAAAATTGTTCAATATTTTTCAGCGCTCAGACAAAAAAAATTAAAACTAGTTTAGGTTTTATGACTCATTTTAAAACATCTCTAAAGTATAACGATAAGATTACATATAGTTAAATGTATAGAGGCTTCCTTATCATTTACGCTATAGATTTAAGTACACATTTAAATATAACACTTTTACCGGTTAAAAACGCCCCCGTGACCACGGCTGCTGTATAGCATCCGAAACATCGAACTGAGTTAAAATATATTATAACTAATATATTTCGCGTTCTGAACGGTTAGTGTTTTATTTAAATAGATTCTACGATACAAAAATGGTGGATAACATTACCTTACAAGTCCCAGAATATGTACTGATACCGCACACCATGTTCGGCGGCAGTTGATCGAACATGGTTGCGTTACATAACGCGTCTGTTATCACCGACATTGTCTTCTGCCGAAGAGTTGGTGATACAAAGGTTACTTCTGTAAGATTTATACATAAGTAAATTAACTTATTGTGCCTCTCCTGTACTACAATTTATATATTAGCATTAGCCTTAGTTTGATTATGTGTAACACAAAAATAAAATTAGATAAGCTATTGATTTATATTTTTCAAAAAGAAATTGCCCAAAAAACGTTGCTACGCTAACGCTAGTTAGCTAGTTTTTACTTTCGGCATCAGACTCCCTCCTTTACTTAACTTTAACTAATATATTTCGCGTTCGAAACCGTTAAAGAGTTTTATTTTTATGTGTACTTCTGTGTTCATTTGTACAGACAGTGTTTAAAGGACCATACCACTTCCGTTGCTTAGCCTAAAAATTAGCGCAAACATCCACAAAGCTAATACTGGCTTACACCCAGTATTAGCTTCAAACAAAACAAAAAACAAATGCTTACGTGGTGCGGCAATTCCCCAACCAGATGCAATGCTGGCTGCACCAGCGAAGTTGTTTTCCGATATATTAAGATAAGGCAGTCGTATAGAGTTGATCGTTTCTAAAACAGACATTAAGTTTATCTCTATGATCGAATAACAATATATACTAATATTAAAGCTGAAGAGTTTATTTGTTTGGACGCGCTCATCTCAGGAACTCGTCGGAACTGAAGAAATATTTTTGTGTTGGTTAAAGCATGTATCGAATGGGAATGATATAGACTATAAAACAATGCGCTGAGACTAATAGGAGCAAAAAGCGGGAAATATGAAGGAAACGGGGAAAATAATACACCTTTGTGAGTATCCGTTGCGTACGCTACAAAAACGGTTCAAGATACCCAAAAAATATGTGTGAAAGAATGATTGCTCTTTAAATGATCTAAAAAAATGTCCGCGACACCTATATCTATCTTTTGATATTTGCAAAAACGACGGGACGCGAGCAACGTCGTGGGTCGTGGGCAATGTTGATGCTCAAAATAACTATTCTACGCTGACGAAGTCGCTGACGCAGCTAGTATATAAATAAAGAAGAGGTTTATAGAACCTTACCTGTCATCTGCACCAAATTACTGAGTCTCATTAGGGCTAGGTCGTTTAGAAAGAATGTTGAATTCCATTCCGGGTGAACTATAATCTCTTCGACGTTCAGAATACGACGACCGTTTTCGTATCTGTCGTAAAGGGAGTACGCCCCTAAAATTGCCTAGAAGTGAAGGACAATGTTAGATCTTTATCTAACATTGTCCTTCACTTGATTAGTAAAAAAAAATCTTAATTTCAGTCGCCGATCTCCTGTTAATTGGGTTATTATCCAGCTATGTGTAAAATTCAGTGTTGTAAACTGACAATTTGAGAATCGCAACGATAGCCAATATAATACTTTTCATTTTAGTAAAAGTACAATTAGTATGTTTTAAATGTTGGTAATTGATTGCCGACCAAATACGTCATCTTCCGCAACATAGCTACACATTTTCGTAGTTAGTCGTGAATTTTATTGCACATCAACATATTGTTTCATAATTAAAACAAAGCTAAAAAATATATAAACCCCATGTAAACATCTTTAAATGACAATATTGGTTGTTTATATATGAAGTATTAAGTAAGTAATATGGACTTATCCATTATTTATACTAACCTGGACATTGTCCACTAATACGTCGTCGTGGAAACAACAGTGTGCAGCTGTGATAACCCATTGTGGGTCTATAAGGGATCCACCGCAGAAGCCCACTCGACCAGTTGTCCCAACACGAAGATACAACGCAACCTAGTTAAGATATAACATTATTAAATACGCTTTTGGAAGTCTTTACTTGAGTTGTCGCAATGTAGCAAATCAATAGGTCGTGGATTGGATTCCCAGAGTCCAGCACGTTTGTAAATCATTTACTGGTTTTTCGAAACGCGTCATTGATATCTAAGTTGTTCGCATGCATGGGTCGACAACAAAAAGGTACTTGTAAATACTGTCTATAGTTTACGCAAGTGGTACACATTTAAATAAAACATTTTAACGGTTTAAAACGCGATATATTAGTTAAACTTATTTGAAAATTATTTTTAACTTCGGCCCGTCGGTTCGACTAATATATCGCGTTTTAGACCGTTAAAGTGTTTTATTTAAAGGTACTCGTTTTAGAAAAAGCATTACTATGACACATAAGAATATTATTACATAGACAATCCTCCAGCTAAACATATCAATGAAATTTATTTTTACTTACTTGATAAGGCCTCGAATTTCTTGCAGTTTGCTCTCCACCTATTATCCTAGTCTCTGATGATGAAGCAGTAATTGTGCTAACCGCGATAGTTATTAAAAGACCCCACATTCTTCACTTGTTCAGTTTAATATCCACTGTGTGAAAGTAATTTTTATCTCCCTATCAGACGAAGATATAGAGTTGTTAGAGTCGTTATCTTGACGGAAAGAATTCAATAGTGACCTATTCTTACGTGTAGATAAGGAATTGAAACTACATTTATTTCACACGCAGAGACTAGAATAAGAATTTTTTGGGTATCTTCAAACGTTTTCGCAGCGCACGCATCGCAACGCAAACCTTTAAAGACAAACAATTATCCAAGTTTTTTCTTAAGTTTTCCCTGTTTTTTCGATCGTATTGGTGGCAACTGGACGTTTTCTAGCCTAAAGCCTTCCTCAATAAAAGGTCTAGGTCCAACACATTTTTTTTTCAATTCGAACCAGCAGTTCCCGAGATTAGCGCATTCAAACAAACAATAGAACAAAGTATAGATTATTTATTAAGTAGCTTCACTTCTCCAGCGTTCACTCATCAAGTGGTTAATTTCGAAATGAATCAAACAAAGTCCAAGAGTATTTGAAAACATCGTTTATTATATTTCCTCAAAAAAGTAAAATTTAAAATAAAATATTTAAACGTAGGTGATCCGCGTCATCCGGTGCATCGGGCGCTAAGCTAACGACACCGCGCGATGCGCACACGCATTCTATACAATATTACGTAAAGAACTAAAAATGTGTGATCGTAAAATCTAGTAATAATAAGGTGAAAATACGTATAATTAATAATAATTATTATTATTAGAAAAAAATAACAATTTGTGAAAAATGGCAGTTAAATAATCATTAAGAAATAATACGTTACTCTTAGAAGCACATGAGGCGAAGCATACTTACAAGTACTATAAGACTACCCCGACGCCGCTGACCTCTGCCCGCTCGACTATCATCTAGTCTACACGCGATAAATCTATTATGAAACTGATATAAATAAGAAGCCGATCCGTCAGAGACGTCGGAGTACCTAAGAAGACACTTCATTAATGGAAAATATCCCTAACACTTACGTAGCTCTCGGTACATTCATGTTTCCAAGCTGTCAAACAATTAAACGACATCACTGGGGTACGATTACTGTTAAATGCGGTTACAATCCATCCTAGCTATCATAAAATGCGTTTAATTCCGTCAATAAATAATTATTGGTCAATAGTTAATCTAATAAAACATCTAGAACTTTTCAATTAGCTGTTAATTAAATCGAACGACATACATTTCTAGTTCAAATGAATATACATTTTATATATTAAATTTTCATAATATAATATCGATATATAAATAAATTATATATATTTATCATCTGAGTTTACACTAGAGGTCGTCTATGAATAAAGTAGCGTCGTATTTAGAATTTTATAACACGTCTCATTTAAAATAGTAATGTCACAACAATACGAAACGGGTGGGTGGGTTCGTGCATTCTCGGCTATTCAACCCATTGCGAGATCGAACAATAAATATATCAGACGAAGGCAAACAATTCAAACACTCGAATATCGAACAGTCTTAATTAACGTATTTTTGTACGCAACAAAATAATAACAATGTTTGTGACAGTCGTCTTGGGGCCGCTCGACACGATTTCGTCATTAGCAAAGCTTACTGCAGCAAGCGTCGTGAGAAATATGTGACGTCCCGGGTGCGTACGCTGGCGTGCGGGCGCGGGTACGGGTACGCACGGGCGAGCTCGCACTGAGTACGGGGGGACGAGTGCGTAATGAGAAACATGTGATGGCTACGGGCGGCTGTCTGGTGCTCCCACGCTGCTTAGCTGGAAAAATTAAACATCGTATTATTATATTGTTAAAATACTTATGTTGTTAATTTCATGCTTTAAGTGTTAATTTAAAATCTTCAATAAAATATTAAATAAGCCACTTTAGTCTACGTCCGATCAGGCAGCGTGCAAGAATATTGGTTAGATAGTACACTCATGCATTAAGGAAGTTTAATTTCGGTGAATAATAGTGTTAGTAATTTTAGCCCTTAACCACACAATTTGTTCTTTTATGTCGTAGTTTTCAAGTGTAAAGAACCGCGCTTCTGAGGGTTGTTTTTTTCTCAAAGGACATTCAAAAAAGGTATTTCGTTGAAAGTTCCCGCCCCAAAGCGAATCCCGGTTACAATAGTGTACCCTCGTGTACAAAGATGCGCATGCTATGGCGAGAATAAGTAGGACAGCGTTGCGACTGACTTCTTCTTGAGCGTGAAGAAGGAGCGGCGCTTGGGCTCGGTGTGGTGGGGCGCGGGCAGCGTGTGAGAGCGCGGCGCAGGCGCGGCGGTGCGCGCGCGCAGAGCCTCCACCCAACCGTTCATCTCGGACTCGTCGTGCGCTTGCAGCAGGAACTCCGCGCCGTTAGATAATCTATAACAATTGCAACATTTAGTTAGAAAACAAAATCTTAAACTGCGTGCCAAAAGTCATTTATGTAACGGAGGCGGAAGTTCAGAATAAAATGGGTCAGCGACAACGTGTGCACCGTGTCGATGACATCAGGTTGCACCGTGCATCTGATGTCATCGACTATGTCACTTTTTATTATTCGAGCCGGACTATCAATAAAAAATCCCTACTGCCAAAACACATAATAATCATTTAATATTCAAAAGTGTCTGCAAGCATTTTATATGAGTGCGCCTAGGTGTGCGGACCACATTTTGTGTTGTAAAATTTGTAAGGATCTGACTAGATTTTATAAAGTAAATTACGATTATGAAGGTCTTATATATTATTGTAATTCATACGTAACTGGGTTTAACTTCTAATGGCCTAACCTCAATCCAACATATACTTTTTATATAAGTTTAACATCTCCAAAAACGCTAACATTCTTAAAATTTATTTTTTTATATGGTAATTAAAATAAATATAGCCGTTGGTACCTACCTGAGACGGAAGACATGCTTCTTCTTGGTGTAGTTAGCGGCCTGTTCCACAACGGCGCCGTTTAGGTCGAGAGGCGTCTCGCCACGCCAGTGCTGCTCCGGCGCCGCCTTGTACGACTTCGCGTCCTTGTAGAAGGACATGCGACCGTCCTTTGCGACCACGTAGACCTTGTCCCATGATCTAGAAACAACAAATATATTTAGAGTATTTTTTAACTGTTACACCAAAAACTTAGAAGAGTTTGTTTGTTTAACGTGCTAATCTCAAGAACTACTGGTTCGTAAAAAAGTTAAAATTTCGTGATTGATTTTTTCGCGTGTTGAATAGACCATTTATCGAGAAACGCTTTACGTTATATAACATCAGGCAGGCGAAGTGCAGTGAGTAATGTAAAAAATTTAAGGGAAATTTACAGACATTATTAATCTTTAGGGGATTCCTTTATTCCATTATTATTATCATTATTTCGTCGAAACTCTTCATTTGGCAAAAAAAAAATCCAGGTTATCTAGTAGAGTACACGTAATTAACGAAGAACGCCAAATATCCAACCTGTTAGAAGCACGTTTGGCGGCGGACTCCCACTCGTGTTTGCGAACCAACATTCCCTCGACGCCCTCATCTTCACCTCCGGGACTGGCGCCTTCTGTACATCAACACGTCAAGTTATAACAACATCCAAAACCTTTAGGAAGATCCTGAAATTATCCTAATACGCACAATGAAAGCCCGTACTTCAAGACGAACTCTGGGCTAGTTGAATTGCCTGACCTAGCTCAGTCTTGAAATATAGGTTCAAATGATCTAATACTAACGTCTAACACTAACGATCACGTGTGGTTTGATACGTCGCTAATGTGAGCCTAGTCAAATGAAACGCTGTCGTCAAGATAACACTTTATTGTACACGAAACACGTTCAAAATCATGCGATCGACAGACTGTGTAGCACACAAAGCATTCATTGCATATATTTATATTCACAGTTGTAATGTACAGTTGTAGATGTATATTGTATGTTTGTTGGGACAGTCAAATTCCGTATTTTTTTAAATTTATAGACGCTTACGCACAAAGGTATTCTAGTATTGCAGCTGTTCGCAATAAAAATAGTATTTGGTAACTTTTAAGTACATTTTGTAGAGTAACTAGTAGTAGTAGACATTGCGTCATCATTGGAAGCAAAGTCACGTCGTTTAGATTGAACTAATTACCATTTAATAGGTAAATTAGTTAAGTGTATCTTTCATACACTGCGCGAATCGGACCAAGGCGCCACCCACAACTGTCAAATACAACGGGATACCTTCGTCATCGCTGTGATGGGTTCCAGTGAGAAGTTTCTTAGCTGCCTTCCAACGGAAGCTCCGGAACGGCGACTTGCTTCGCGACCGAGACTTCACCTTACCGGAAGTCGAAGGCGTGACCGGTGTAGAGCTCGTTCCGGGCGCTGTTCGAGTGGCCGGGACGAGGGAGGGGATTGGATGGGTGGATACGAAGTTAATACGTCGAAGGAAGGAACGTAACAGGTGAGGGGAGAAACAAAAAAACATAATTCAAAGCAACATAAAAACAACACTGCGTCAAAGTAAGACAGAAGCACGTACATACCGACTAAATGATAATGTTCAAAAATAACACCTCTACCAGAAAACACAGTATATTAATGTGGATTCATGCTTTCACTAAGTACATTAGTATGTCTATGTTCGTTAATAACTAGTTAACTAAGTAAAGAGAGATGTCGCTACGTTCCTTATCGATTCAAATTCTAGATAACCAATAACTACAACCGCTATTACAGTTACTACATAAGAAATCAATAGTCCGAGCTTTTCTGAACGTAATCTGAAATGAAATGAATTTGAATCAATAAAACGGAAAGCGTTAATACAAACCGGGCGACAGTACTCACTAGAGAGGCGTGCGGGTTTAACGGGCGTCTGTTTCGAGGTGGACGGTCGGGGCGAAGCCTCCAGCCGCTCTGGCTGGCCGGCCTCGGGGGGCGAAGGCTCGGGAGCGGGGCTGGGAGTCTCTGCATGCGTACATCTACGTGCTAGTTATGTCTACACTACGTGCATGCATGCTACGTTACGGTACATGCATTATACATGTGTCAACAAATCGATTGTGCTTTTAAAGGTTTTTATCATATAATGACATATTGTAATTTGCAATAGATATGTTAACACATAGACATTCATGCTAAACATCATATTATTGCCTACGTCCTACCTAGTCATATATTTAAGGGGGGGTTTAAGTAGATTATGCCTTAAAATATAATTGCTTAAAAACGAATAAAAGTTAATAATAATAATACTATTAAAATAGCACCAAAAGATGTATATGTTCATAAAGCAAGAAATGTATAAGCACATATTTTATGAAAAATCGATTATAGATTGAAAAAAATTTACGACACGGGCAGGACTGGCATCCACAGCGTTCCGTGCTGTTTGCTCAAGCAATTGCATTGAGCTACCGTGTCCTATGCGTCTGAATTTTCTCAACCTATTGATAAATGCACCTCTGGTAATTTTTAATTTTAATATTGCCAACATGTGCGATAACATGTGAAGAATATTAAACATGTTATGATCATAGTACAGTTTGAGCGTTTTCGTTGATATGAATAGAATTAAGGAGCAAGAAAGCCGTGCATAAATATAAAGGTAGCGAAAAGACGCAAATACTAGATGTGTTACCTACCTTGATGAACTCCGTCTCGAAAGGTAATAGACACAGCACATTATTTAGCTTAGTAAAGACACAATGAGAAGACAAGGTTACAGAGTATCAAACCATCACCGTGAGAAAATAGCGTGATCAATGAGTAATATATACTTCATGAATTTATTGAACTGTACGAAATGCTATAAGGATATAAAGTATACACCTATTTCACAAAACACTTAACGGTTTAAAACGCAAAATATTTTCATTCACGGGAGACCACGGCTGCTTCAAAGCATCAGAAAATGTAGTTAATAAAGTAACGGATATATTTGGCGTTTTAAACCGTTATAAGTTTATTTAGGTGTACTACTAGCGTAAACTACACACAATACTTATTTATAAACCTGTATATAAGTGGAGATGAAGAGCATTTCAAAGTATCATCCGACCAAGAGAGAGGAATCTTAAAATAGTGCATAGATTAAACGTAGGGCGAAGCGATAGTGCTTAAAACCTTAATAAATACATAGGATAATTAGGACATTATATACGATATACTGTGCACTACGAGTCAATCGTGTCACTAAACCCAACTACAAAGGACCTGTACCCCATTCGAGGAGCGCACTATGAACGATTTAAGGGTTGGTGCCGATTTGGATGCATACAAATTAAAACTAAACCTTGCTAAGAGAAAATTTTAAATCCACACTACTAGTACAGAATTATAAAGAGGTATCCACAGTGGGATAAAGATTTATTGTTATCGTTATTTTTAGCAAAATCTCTTACAAAAAGACAGCAGTATGGATTCAGCTTTAATCCTTTGTATGCTTATAATCAAATCAAAATTCTATTAAGCTACTGTACGACGGTAGCGTGTAGCGGTAGCTCAATTGGTTATTGAATCGAATCTAAAAAGATTTGGTTTTATATAATACTAAAAAGTTAACATTATTTCAGTTTTTAATATGTTGTCTTTAAATATAACGCGTAAAGGCTTAGGTTTAATATTGTTTGCATATAACAAATCGGACACCACATATCTAGAAAGCACTCATGCGCATCTAGCCCTCGCGTGTCGGCGAATCAAAGCGCTGAGTTACCTGGCTGCGAATGTGGTCGCTCTTGGGCCTTCTCAGCCGCTTTAGTGGATGTTCTCCTTACGACTACACGTGTGCATGTGTGGACAACACGTATGTAAGTAACGGCCCAATTATACGCTTACATCGACTAGCGAAATTGAAATGTTATTGTAAGTCAACATATTTGTACTATATTTTATTGTTCCCGTCTCAGAAGATGCCATTGAAAAAGTGTTTTAGATAATTCAGAGCGGCATTCGAACAAAAAACTATCCTGCTATTTAAATAAAACACTTTAACGGTTTAAAACGCGATATATTACTTAAACTTATTTGAAAATGATTTTTAACTTCGGCCCGACGTTTCGGATGCTTTGCAGCAGCCGTGGTCACGGGGAGACTGTGTACTACTCGCGTAAACTATAGACAGTATCTATCCTGCTATTTCTTATGATAACACAATACTGGATATTTTAAAGTTAATTTTATTTATCTTCGATACTAAAAGGTAGGGAATGTCCCAATAATCGTGGTGTTCCATGCCAGAATAAGTACAAAAATTAAATAATTGTCTATTTGTAGTAGTTTTACAATGTTTATATGAACATTATTGTACAAGTACAATTGGTTGGAAAAATCATGGGACTATATATTTTATTTTTTAGTTTATTGTCCCCTTACAGGCTTTGTTAAAGTGGGTTGGGTGAAATAATTAATTCACGAAGATAATGCTAACAATCACTTATGATAAGACAAGCGTAATTTGAGGTGTAAAATGTAAACATGTTAACGAACAGGTGCGTAAGTATAGTCTTGATTATATAAGTAAAAAAAAATATTTGAGCACTTTAAGTGTGTCGGTTGCAAACATTTCAATTTCGCTTGAAAGCCGATTGAGCAAACAGTTTGAAACTTGACACGTAAAGCTGCAAGCGACGCCATCTTCTCGGCTTAATCGCAGTGCAAACGTGCTAAGTTTTAGAATTCAAATATTCCTAAACATTGTATCGCATCTATCTTATTGCTTTCCGACGCAATCCACCAGTTATGTAGTAGCAGTATGAGTATGCCGCCTACTGTTTTCTTCATCCGCATTATATATTTGCATATAAATTAAAATAATTTCTAGATTTAAAAAAATGTTACGAGTGACTCGAATCCACGACACTCATAGCGTTTTATGATATTGCTGTAACAATTAAGCTACCTGCACTACTACTTCTCAGTGTACATAGCTCAATCTTCAAAGCAATAGCACAGAACGCTGTGGTCATAAGTTCAAATGGATTTCTACTTTATTAAGCTATCTGTAAACTTGAACGTTAAGCGTACTAAAAAAATCGCGTCTTCAAAAATATTATAACATTATTTCTTATTATAAATGGAAATTGTATTACAAGTAGCAGCGGACAGACAGAATTAATAGAAAAAGTCAACTTTGAACATAGATTTATAGTGTCTTGTAGGATCTATATTAATGACAGTAGAAGGGAGATTTTGAATAATTTTGTTAAAATGAATACGCAAGTTCGTGCGCTGGAGGTATTTACAACTCATACAGGTATTAATAGAAGTATAGTGCGGAATTGTACACATGCGTGCTGAGAATGCAATCCGTGACTGTGTTAATTTATAATCTTGTGTTTTCCTTCTTTATCATTTTAAGTCTTATTTCTATTAAAATTGATTTATTGATACGATACGGTTTGATTTTAAAATATCAATTATTATGTAATTTTAGGTTGATTTTGGCTTTTAAACTTGACACGAATCGATCAACCTACAACCACTTAGTTTTCGTTTACCGCTGACTGACTATATCATAAAGCAAGCTTAATCTATCTCAGTTTTTACATTGAGGACATAAGGGTTCAAGGTCGCTACCAAAGCTACTAACAAGATAACGATATCATAGAACTTAATTCGCTAGTTCTGTGCTTTAAAAGAGTTACCATTCATAATAATTCATGACATATGAAAAAGTCTACTTGAATAATATTTTAACGGATATATCAGCGAGCGGTAGGAGTACATAACAAGAGAAAGAGTTACAATGTTCCGTAATACGTATTGCACATCGACGTTTTAAAGAGAGAACTAACAATTTCGGTATAGTAGTGTTATCTCTGTCGTACACTACCGTACCATTTGTTATTGTTGACAATAAGAAAAATCTATACAATTTATATAGGTCCATAGATTGCCGTTGCGCAATAAACATTACCGGATTCTGTATAGAGGGAGGGCAGATAAAGGTATATGCACACTTACCGGGTTGGTCTGGTTCGGGAGATGCAGCGCGGTCTACCGCATCTTGAGTGGCTGCGGCAGCCGCTGCAGCCTCTGCTGCTTCACGTTCTTGCCGTTCGCGTTCAGCAGCCGCGGCTGCTTCTTGACGACGCTTCATCTCTTTCACTTCAAACTGAAATTGATAATGGCATGTAAGCATATGTCAACATATATATGAGGATTTAAGCTGGAATGCATTGGTTAGAAAGAAAAAGTGTGGGCACAAATTACGCCTTTACTTATCTCTTTGAGCTGTGTTAGTAAGTTTGCACATGAAATATTGAGGAATAGCCATTATGGAAAAATACTGTATATAGATAGCCTAGCTCTCGCGGCCATTTTGTAGGGTTTTTTAGATTTTTCGCCATCATAATAGAGAAACGTCTTAAGAAAAGCTTAATAAGATTCATTTTCACTTAATTAATAAATTCATTATGTCTTAACAGTAACCTGTATAAGTACAAATTATGCAACATTCAAAAAACTAAGCGCCTGCGTTACAAAAAGCTCATGCAATGCGGTATACCAAAACCAAACTTACACCATACATATAATTATAGTACCATATATCATTGGACGACATGAAGCTTTCAACTTGAGATAACAAGAAGAGCGAAGGAGATAAAGACAGAGCGGAGCTCGTCAGACTTTTCTTGGGTTCGCTTTCAGATTTTCTAAAAGATAATCTCCTGAGCGCTTTCATTATCCCACCAGCGCTTTTACTTCCTGCGTCGCTAACGTCACTCTCGGAAACTATGGTTATTTGCTCATCTGGCTGCTTGACCAGGGCGGTGTTGGGAACGACATTTAGCGGCGCTAGTCTCTCCCAAAGTATAAAATCTATGCATGCAAGTTTCGGATCTGACATGAGAGATTCACCATCTTCGAGACACGTGAATGTCATATCTGTGCAATTTGATGGTGAAAGAGGAGATTTTGGGGGACTACTGCTCTCCGATATAGTAGATAAACTATTATTTGAAACTAAGCTCCAGGCGTTGCTGTAGTTCTTAAGTTCTTTGTTTCGTGAGTAATTTATACTCAGGTTCCTAGATTGATATTCATCGGGGAGTTTGTGTAAATCAGATCTTATTATAACAGGATCGATTTGATCTTCAGCTTGCTCGTCGTCTAGAAGATTTCTGGTTTTGTGCCTGGTTATAGGGGCCGTATGGTAAGTAAAGCTTTCATCACTTTTTCCAGAAGATGATTCCCGATTAGGTGTTTCTGCGTTCAGATCAAACTAGTGTGGAAGAAAGAAGTGATTACCGAAACCAAAATAGAATGAGTGAGATATATTTACAGCGATTTCAAATTGTAGGTGTCATATGAACCGTGTGTAAAGCTTAAAAGGCATGCAAAAACCAACAACCACTTACACTATCCAAATAGTTATAGTACCATGCACTTTCTGGTAGGAGAGTACGGGTTTGTGTCAGTAGCAGGAGGGAAGAGGAGAGAGGTACAGATTTCACATCTTTTCCTAGATCGTTAATAGCTTTATCGCTACTCGTCAAACCCGGAAGCGACAGCACGGCAACCTCGCTTTTCTCAGATCTTTTTCTCGTTAACAATTTTCGTAGCAGATTCTTTATATTACCCGCGATGGATGAAGTGCTTCTACGTTTGAGTAAGGAAACATTTGGGAAGATATTTAGGTAAGAAAGTTTTTCCCATAATATAAAATCGATGGAAGCTAATTTTTCATCGGGGTGGGGATTTTCGTTGGGATACTCAAAGAAAATTGAACTAAATATTTCCGCGGTAACGGGGGACTTGAGGGGTGAAATGGGTCCATAACTGGATTCCGACATATTCGAGGGACTATTACTCCCCCTTTTCTTCCACTCATTATAACTATTTATGATAATAATTTTCTTTTGCGCTTTATAATTTTTAAGCCGATATTTTTCTGGGACCTGAAACCGTTCGGAACTCAAAATAATATCGTGTACGACTTGTCCGATCGGAGCCTCATCTTTGGGTATATCGAGGTCTGGGAGGTTGGGTCTTTTACGTGGAGGAGGAGGAAGGTATGTGAAGGAGGATTCATCACATTTTTCCCAAGGTTGTGCACTGGGCCATAGTTTCGCTGCGTTCAGTTCAAGCTAGTGATAGTGAAGAATGGGATTAATAAAGAAAAGTAAAAACCAATACAAAGAGGTGCAAACGAACAACATGTGTGACAAAAACATCATTACTATACCTTGTCTATTATTGGACAAAGTATTCATACATATATATATACATACGGTGGTAAGTCTCTGCAAAGCGCTGAAGCGATCCTCTTGTGCGGCTGCAGATTTCTCAAAGGCCTCGTGCTTCTTAATGAGACTCTCAACCTCGTCGATAGTGTGGCCGAGCTCTTGCGACATTAAGTAGGGCTCCTGCGCGATCAGCCACGCCTCGGCGACGGCCGCGTCACGGGCGAACTGGTACACCTCCAGGACTGTAAGTAGATTTTTTTAATTATTTAAACAATATTCCATTATTTAGTATCGATCTGTAGTACTGATATGGGTTGTACATAGATATAACATAGAAAAATATTTCTCACCCGTTTATCTGTCACCAAACGAATTTCCATAAGGATGTATTGTCAGCATACCAAGAGTTCAGCGTGCTATTTATCTTGTTTTTTAAATCAAAACATTGATTTTTTTTTAATGTGTTAAATGATGAATCTAAAAAAATGTCCGCGACACTATCATCACTCTTCACTATCATCAACAAAACAAGGACTAAATCTCAAACCTTTATTTGAAATCCTTATTACAAAACGAAACATTTGTACCGGACTGACTATGGTACTAAACTTGATTTATTTAGACTATGGTTTAAGATTTAAACCAAGACTCCGCAGTTCTGGTTTAAGTACTTTTCGTAATGGGGCCGTATATGTCTATCTTTTACGATTATCTTGCAAGAGCGACGGGACGCGACCGATGACTTAGGTAACAGTTTGTAAAAACAATTTTGGATGTCCTAAAGAACTATTCTACGCAGACGAAGTCGCTGACTCAGCTAGTATAAAATATAGCAATAAATTTAAATGCTCACTGAGTTGTAAGTTCTCCCAACGCTCCTCCCATCTCCTAAGAAGGGCGTTCCTTTGATCAGTGAGTACGTGCAGTTTGTCGCGGATGTCACTGGATGCGTAATGCTGCCGAGCAAGAAGCTCCCGGCCCAAAGCTATGCACGCAGCGAAGTTCTCTTCGCGCGCCTCAATCTCCGCTTTCAATGATTGATGGTTGTTCATCAGTAGTTCCACGCCACTTACGTCTCTGCAGATAATGAGTTTTTTTTATGATAGAGGAAGACAGACAAGCAAATGATCAGTTGATTGTAGATAAAATAAAAATAAAAATTGATTAGAAAAATGTTGACCCCAGTGTCGATCGAATCAAAGATCCCGTAATAGATAATTACTTTGTCCCTTATTGTAGGGAGTCTGAGTTATAGGATTTGAATACCACCAATTAATTTTTGGTGGTGAGAACTTACAAGAGGGTACCAGCATGTATGTAAGTAAGTGCTAATCACACTACAGATTTTGAATATCCATTACAATTTACAAATTTAAGTAGAGTAAAATGTAAATATTTTCTCAGAGAAAAAAAAAATGTTTTTTAATTTAATTATACATTATTATAGAACTCAAGTTTAATATAAGAATAGCTACACTCATTATTTAATAAAACAATTAATAGAAGAAATCTTCTTGTTAACACAGAAGGATATATCAATCTATGAATATATATGTAATATTTATTGCATAGTTTAAATATAAATTCACCTTGGTTTCTCTCCAGTGTTCATAGACCTGACAACATCGTCCATCCATATGGTGAGCGTGCGTACTTGGCTCAAGAAGCGGTACAGCTGGTCAGCATCTTCCAACTTGGCTCTGCGCGCCTCACATGCTGCTTGCAGCGCTGCCCATGCTTCGGATACCTCCGCAGCGCGTCGGGTGATTTCAGCTGCCTTTTCTCCTGCGTAGGAGGCTCCTAAACGAGAGCATTCTGCGTTTATCGCTTCCACCTGTAATCAAAATGAAGATGCATACAGTCTACATTTTCAATGTGGTCTAAAACCAAAAATGTTCTTATTTGTGATTGTTGACCACTCAAACGTCAAACTTTAGATTGAAAATTTTATAATTAAAACAAACAATGTTTTGATAGTAGAATATTCCATAGTAGGTTTATTATGAGAAGCATTGTTTCTATAGACATTTCAAGTGATTTATTAAGGTTTTTTAATGTGACTTATTATTCAATTTGTAATGTAAAATTGTATATAATTTTTATAACAATATATGCATAGACAAACTTTAGGTCTCCATTGTTTTAATAAGGTATGACTGTATGTTTCGTAATTTTAATAAATAATTTAAAAGCTAGTAATTTAGATATAGGTGGGGAAAAAAAAAAGAATAATCTTTTAATCATTAGAATGGCGTGAGTATCATGTATCTGACCTGGTTCTGCAGTGTGGAAAGATCCTGCATGAAGTTGTGATGTTTTCTTTGCAATGCAGAGACGGAGAGTGCGTCGCGCCCAAGTTCGTCACTAACAGCGCGAGCCTTTTCGTTTACGCGTTGCAAGGTGTCCTTGCAGTCGTGGAAGTATTTGTGTAGCTCCCGGGATGCGGCCAACATCTGTCAAACATTACAAATTCATTATATTATTTATTTATTAAAACTGTAACTCTGTTGCACTAATAAACAAAGTTTTAGGACTTGATAGACGTATGAAACAAAAGAGGTTTCCTACCTTGAAATATACCTACATTATATTTTTTTACTGATCTACAATCTAGCGCAAACACTACATATTCTGTTATTTTACAGATAATCATCAAAACTAGGGCCTATTCATCTCCTAAACACATGTACCATAATATCTCTTATTAATGTCATATTCACCTGTGTCCTTGTATCAATGAGCTCAAGTAAGTCTTGCCAGGTCTCTTTGAGACCCTCCTTCCATTGGGCGATGGTAGCGTTGTCTGAGTGACCCATGGCAATCATCTGATCAGCTATACGCTCCGCTGTGGCCACACGCTCAGATCCGACTGATTGTGTCTCGCGAGCGAATTCTTTGAAGCGCTCCCATAAAAGCTGTAATATTAACTCAGGTATGAATTTATTACAAAGAGGGATATGTAGTCATAATGACATTTATATATAACTTGGTATTTTTGATAAGCCAACACAATTTACATGAAATCGTGATTTTCTCACAAAAACACTTTGAGGCGATATAAGACTAATGAACTACCTCAAATACACTAAATAAAAACCAGAATTTCATGCTAAAATTAATAAAATAATAAAAATCCAAAAATTTGTTTACGTAAAGAACAGATCAAAATTTCTTTACGACTGATTATTTTTCTTTATGAAATTTATATAAGGATGTGAAGCAAGCAAATTCGACAACTATAGAAGGTAGAAGTCCCACTAATACACGATCGCTGAAATGTGTTACAAACGTCGAGTTATATTATAATGACATAAAAAAAAAACATCATAAAAGTGATTTTGAATATTGAGGTCATTGACCTGAGTCATCTGTGGCAATTAAATATGCATACTCACAGTGACGTGTTCATAATCTTGTCCAAGTTCTTGAGAGCTGGCGACTAGCTCGCGTTCTGTAATCCATTGTTCCAGGTCGTCCACTTCTCGAGACAGCTGGAAGAGGCGTAACGCTTCATCCAACTTGGCGCGTCTTTCTCCTGCCAAGTCTTTTAAACCGGCATACAACTTGTCCACTTGTGACTGTTTGACGGAGATCTGCTCGCTGAATAAAAGAAATAATATATTGAACTAAGTACCTCAGTACAGTATAAAATTAAAAAAATTTAAATAGTAATTTTAAAATTTTGTTAAGTATTTTAACAGCACTAATATTTTTCAACAAAAATACCATTTATGGTTAAAGGCGTTGCCTTGCATTGCATTAAGCGGAAGAGATGCTGGAAAACAATAGACTATTTCGGTGGGGCAGGGCTGAGAAATTCGATCAGCTACTTGCTTAAAAATAAAACCGGTCTATGAAACGGACACAGTAATGTGTTAGCCCCATGCCCTATAAGAAGCTACAGGATTTTTACTTTTTAATATATTAATATAATAAACGAGAACGCAATGGCTTCTTTTTTATTACCTCAGAGGATGTTCCTCGCTGGTTAGCTGACGTACAGTCTCACCCAACTGCCTGATGGTGTTGGCGTAGTCGTCCACCGCTTGTTCGAGTATCTCGTGTTTCTTGATGAGGTTCTGCGCGGAGATCTCGTCTTTGCCACGGTCTTCCACCATCATGTACAGCTCCTGTTCGCTCATCCATGCCTCAGCCTCGTTCGCGTCGAACAGGTACTGGTGCGCTTTACCCCATTGGGACAGATTGTTTTTGCGTTGTTCGATGGCATCTGGGAAAATTAAAAAAAAACTATTAGTTTACAGTGATATAAAGGTAACCAGGTTCTATTTTGCCGGTTAAATATCATTAACTTTAAGTTTTATCAAATTTAGTGTTTATATGTTAACACACTTAAATACATATACGCGAGTTAATCTCGCGTATTATGTTATAAGTACTGCACTATGAACATTTTCTATGTTACTTGTCGATTAAGAAGAAAAAAGACAAGTTACCTTTAAGTTCTCGCCACCGCGCCGTGAGCTCTTCAATAAGCCTCTTGAATTCGTCAGAGTCTTCGTGACCTTCGTCGATCAGTTTTTGTCCATTCGAGATTACCGTTAGAATCCTCGGCTCATGATTATCAGTCTCGGTTTTGAGGGACTGGTTCTTCTTCTGTAACATTTGCACGTTGAAGAGGGAGTTGCCGTAGTCGGTGCTGGTCGCCAAAGGTATTTTTTCGTGGATCCATAGTTTTTCATCCTCGATATCGCGACGGAATTGGAACGCTTCCTTCTTCTTCGCCAGCTGTCGTTGGCGTTCCAGCAGAGGTGCTTTGAGTTGTTCAAATCGGTGTTCCACAGACTTCTTCTTTTCTTTAATCTCTTCCATCTTATCGGGTACGGTCTTCTGCAGGTACTCCGCTTGCGTTTCAAGCTCTGTTACCTGTTTAGCCTTGACCGCCATCTGAGTCTCGATCATCTGTTGTTTCTGCATCAGAATGTTTACAGATGCCAGATCAGTGCCCGTGTCTGTGTTTTCGATTTGCTTCTCCAACTCGTTCATCCACGAGTCGATATCGTCGCAAGTCTGGTGGAGTAGGACCTCGCGGTTAGCGTCAAAGAGACGTTCACCCTTGTCCTTGGTGGTTGTTTGAAGGTTCTCGAACTGATCTTGTAATTCGGACATTTTGGGGGAAATAATTTCAACGAACTCCGGTTTCTGCTTCATCAGTTCCTCTGCCGCGTTCTGTACAGCGAATAGTCTTTCCTTGTTCGCAGCTATCTCCGCCTCGAATGCTTGATGGCGGGTCCACTTAGAGTGAATGGTCTTAGCGGAACGGTATGTGTCATCTTGGGCAGTAACGTTCTTTTCTTGTACCCACTCGCCAAGTTCGTCACAGTCTTGTAGGAATTGATGCAACTGCAGTTGGTCTTGTAGTTTGTCCATCTGCTCAACTGCCTTTTCCCTGTTGGCGTCTCGCCTGGCGCGAATACTCTCAGCCTTGCGTTGAATTTTGTCTGCATCAAAGTGACGTTCTTCTACAAGTCTGTTGGCGAATTGGACCACCGAGTTGATCTTGTCGTCGTTTGCTTCCATCGTGGTGAGGAAGGCTTCATGTTCCTTGATCATATTCTCTGCTTGTTCCAAGTTCGCGGGTGGTTCAATCTTCGCCAATCTATAGATAATATAATAATTTAATATATTAATTTTCTATCACAAAACATACAGAAGAAGGAATTACTGTAAAGATTATTATGATTAAAAAAAACTGAAATTGTCAGATGGTATCATGTATATACCTGTGCTCTTGGTGAGCAAGCAAAACTTCAGCTTGTCTGGCGTCCCGTTGCAATAGCTGCAACTCAAGGGACTGTGTTAACAACTGCTGGCGGTTCTCCCACATCTGCTGCAGCTCAGCCCATCCCTCTCTCAGAGCCTTAAGACGCTCGCGAAGGAACATGTATTGCGGGTCGTCTGCTGTTGAGGGCTCCTATGCAAAAAAGTGAACATTAGATACATATTGACTTGTACACAATTTTATCCATATTTTTTTATAGTAGACGAAATGTCAATATGTGAAAGAACATAATAGTTTTTATTAATTGTTACGTTTTAATAATAACTTATTCGATAATAAAACAATAGTGCTTAGACATATGAAGCATAGACAAAGGAAATAAAAAAATACTTACGGCAGTAATCTTCTCCCCGTATTCCATCATCTTGGCATACTCGTCCTTGTAGTTGTCAATCTCTTCCTTGATCGTCTGGTGCTGAGACAGCAATTTCTCCGCCTCCGGAAGGCTTGATGGGATGTCTGTAAATAAATGTTTTACTTTAATATTATAATGTAAAAATGACTAATGATATTCATTTGTAGGTTATTTGGAAAACTATTTATAACTTTATATTATTAGTATGTAATATGTATTTTCGAAATTGTGTTGTTTGATGCTTGAGAGCTATGGAGTGACTAAGTAGCTAACGCTATACAATTAACGAAACTAATTTTCAATTGCTTACTAGTATCATTTAACGATTATAGAAACCTTCTCAATTACCTTCTGATGCAACATCGGTCTGAGTCTTAGTAAGCCAGGCTTGGAAGTGGTCCACAGAACGCAGGAAACGATGCAAATCTCCAGCCTCTTCGAGTTTTGAGTCGCGTTCCTTGAGCTAAATGAACATTTCAGACTTGGATAAATATTTCAGTTAAATAATTCATTATATCCGTAAAAATCTGGTTAGACGGCGCCACAACTCATTAACACCTAAACACGACTTATATAGTTTCGTTCACTTTTGTCAGATTTTTTTTTAAATTTCGTAGTTTTCTTTAACTATATATAAAGAAAAAGAATTATTATTATTATAATATGTCTGAATACTGACCATTTGTGTGAGTTGATCCCAGTTTTCTGTAATAGTGACGACGCGTTCACGGATAAGTCTCGCCTCGTCTGGGTGTTCACCTTCGATGGCGCTCGCCTCGTCCTCCAGGGATGTGATACGCGCTTGAATAGCGGCCAAATCTCGCTCCATGCCAGACAGGCGACGTTGAAGGGTCATTACACCTGCAAAAGAAAGGCATTTAGTATTCCTCTATATGACCCGTTGAATAATCTATATCGCATACTATAAGTATTAATCCTTACCGTTAAGATCCATCTCCAAATTGTCGGTTTGTTGAAGAATGCGTTTCTTGTCTTCTATCCAGGAGACAGTTTCGCGGCATTCGATGTAGAATGTTTGCACCCCTTGGGCTGATTTCAGTTCGTCCTTCTTAGCTTCCGCCTAAAGAATATATAGAGATTAAACATTTTATATGGCACACTGTAACTTACTTAACATTTGCACACGATAGTTTCACATTTTTTTTCATGCTCGTGAGTCTAATGATTTCAATGTATTGGTTACTAATATAATAATCAATTGCTCCTTCGCTTTGTTCGTTTCCCAGCAGTTCGTCTGAAGAACTGGGTAGAAGAATATCAAAATTCCTTCCGGGTCACGAACTACCGTCAATAGATAAAGTTGGATCGTGTTTCGGTTTCAGTATACTCAGAAGACCACTTCCAAATATCTACAGCCGAAGTAGCGCATGTTCTTAAGATCTTTTACTAGGTTTTTATTATTACCTTCCATCATATGAATCTAATGCTTGTTTGTCGGAAAAGTAAATAATGCTCGAATATACCTTCTCTCTAAGAGTACTCCAGGCTTGGTTGAGTTGAGCTTGACGCTCCTGTATGCGCGGTGCTTCTGGATGCTCCACGTGGATCAATTGTCGGGCTAGCTGGTTAACGACAGCCACTCGCGACGCGTTTGCATTCATTTCTTTGTCGAAACCGTCGTATCTGTTGATCATCATCATTATCATCATCAATTGTTAATAACAAGTCCACTCAAATGCAATTCTTTTGGCAAGATTATAACGTAAAATATTGACAACATGTAGGAATATAATAATATTATTTATATATAATTATACTAGCGATCCGCCCCGACTTCGCTCGAATGCAATACTGATAGTAAATACACTACAGAAAAACTTTAAACGTTGCATACAAAAATCTTCCCCTTGAATCACTCTATCTATTAAAAAAACGCATCAACTCCGTTGCGTAGTATTAAAGATTTAAGCGTACATAGGGACAGAAAAAGCGACTTTGTGATAATAACTGTACTAAAAATAAAATAATACATTTATAAATACAAGTAAAAACGGCAAAATACCTGTGTTTCATGATCTCAACATCGTCAATATCCTTAGGTGGGTGCATGGTATCCAACATCCTGTCCTTCTCAGCTATCCATTGATCAGCTGCGTCTGCCTCAGCCAATAGCTTGTGCAGCGACAAGGCATCAAGGAGTCTCTGCTTACGAAGTCTAGCCAACTCGGAGAGTTCGTTGAGACGAGCGTCCATAGCACCGAGACGATCACGCACTTCTGCGCTGCTTGCATCTTCTGGACTAAGTTCACTCGCCTAAAACGAATACATTTAAAATTTATTCATTTTTAGGTTATAAGGGGCATCTGAAAACCAGTCTTGGCATATAAAATCCTTAGTGTCTTAATTTTAAGTCAGTTATAGACAAATTACTGTATAATAGAATATAGAAGTATACTAAATTGTATCCTACCTGTTGTTTGAGCTGTTGAATGACATTGGCGTAATGTTTAAGCTCATCGGTGACATCCTTGTGTTTCTTCAGTAAACTCTGCACCTGAGCCTCATCGACACCCGTGTCTTCAGATGATACCAAGCTAAGTACGGAAAAATAATTACATATAATATGTCATTAATAAAATACATAGTTTGAAGAAACTTAAATTGCTCCTTATAGATATATAGGTAATGCTTAGTCAAAAACTAATAACATACCGTAGTGTGTCAAGCATCCAAGCATCAATGTCATCTGCGTCAGCGAACAGTTGGTGGTAGCGGACCGCCGCGTCAAGTCTGTTGTTACGCAGTGACACTACATCGAGCAGGTGGTTCCACTGCGATAGAATGTCTCGCAAACGTTCCTGTATGAGAAAAACGTAGGGTAATTATTGCTATCATTACAATAAGTATTACATTTAAGAAAATTCGTATTTATATATAATTTATTCCAAAATTAAATACGTGTCGTAATTTGTAATGTCTTGCTTATAAGATTCTGCGCACCTGTATCCTGTCGGCTCCAAAGTGTCCCTGTGAGATGAGTTCATCTCCTACAGCCGCAACATCCATCAACTGAGGTTCATGGGCAGCTACATCAGCCTCAAGCGCTTTGTGTTTTGATATTAACAGGTACACTGTACAAAACCATTACAAGATTTTTTACAAACAACAATTATAAAATTAAAAAGCTTAAACCATATTTTTAAATATTAATTTATTTAACACTATAGATACTATACAAAGTATGTGCAAGAAATGCACTCATCAAATTAATTCACTCACCAGTTGTAAGATCGTGACCGATATCATCAACAGAGACAATCTGCTCCTTCTCCTTGATCCAGTTCTCTTCATCAGCCATGTCCCAGTAGAACTGCCACAGCTTACGGCTGTCTTCGAGACGCTTTCTGTACACCAATATAATCACTTAAAGGGCTTTACTAAGATGAGAACATTTATAACGTCAACGAAAATTAAGGTAGCACAGTTACAACAAGCGTTTTTGTGTTGAATACAAATAATTTTTGAACAAGTGATCTCTGAACACGGCCTTAATACAGGCACACTATAAAATAGAACTCGCCTCCTCTCAACAGCAAGGTGTACGAGCTCAGCGTACGCATTTTCCAGCTGTTGGATGCGTTCCACGGTGATAGCGGGGTCACAGGGACGGTAACCGCCCTCTTCTTGTTCCAGGAACCTCTGCGATTGACCCACTACGACCTAAAAACATTATATATAAATGAAGAGTGAAATATTTAGAAATTAATATTTACTTTACATATTATACTAAAAAAGTAGTTATTAAAAAGTAGCATATATGTAAGATTCTGGTATAACCATTATAAGTTAAACCCCATCTTCTTCACTAATAAACTTTATTTTCGGAGTAAATTCCTTTCCGCATATGCCATTAAACATAATTAGCAAATAATTTACCTTGACACGTTCTCCTAAGACGTTGATATCAGCTTCAACCAGCGCATGCTTCTGCAGCAGGTCTTCTACGCCCATCAGATGTTTGCCATAGTCGTCTGTCAGCAAACGCATCTTGATCTCCTCCATGGAGTCCAGGATGTATAACATTTCCTGCGAACATATTAAAATTATAGCAACGTCGTGTGGATTCAGTTCTTAACAATACCATATTTAAATTTAATTAATATATTAATTAAAACGATGATGGGTAGTAGAAATATCGACATTTCGTTCAAGAAACACCGTCCATATGTGAAAAATCCTTGAAGTTTAATAGCGTTTCCTTCAAGTTTCATTACACTTTCCAACAAGTTATACTTTTCGATCCACTTTTCTCATAAAAAATACTGATTATGTTATGCATTAAAAAGAATATGTTCGCCCCATGCCCAAAGAGGGGGAAACGGGATTACACTTTTTTTTTCGAAATTATTTAGTGGCTTATACTAGATGATTTTAGTCTAATTTTAAGTGTAGAATCGATATTGAGAGCATATACTTGGCAATGCCTATATATACGAATACACACCTGGAAGTTTTGTTGCAACTGCAGACTGAGTTCGAGTCTCGCGCGACGAGCTCGCAACAATTCCAGCAGGTAGGCCCACAAACGGAGTACATTGTCACGGCGGGCGCACACGCGTTCCATATCATGGTACCTGTCGTTACAGTCATAATAAATCAAGTGTAATACGAACCGTCATTTGATCATTGAACTTGTATATAACCAACTTATGAATATGATGTGATACTATAGTTTACGCGAGTAGTACACAGTCTCCCCGTGACCACGGCTGCTGCAAAGCATCCGAAACGTCGGGCCGAAGTTAAAAATGATTTTCAAATAAGTTTAACTAATATATCGCATTTTAAACCGTTAAAGTGTTTTATTTAAATATAATGTGATTTTGAAAATCAAGGAGTGTCACATAAGAAGTTAAGATATTATTTTTTCTAAAAAATATTCTTAGTATTACGTCTTTCAATATAACAACATTTGATATACCATTTGTTTTGACTTCTACCCACTACTATGTACTTTACTAAATGATTACATAATTTAAAGTAAAGTGTAAACAAATACAGATGTATAATGTTTTCTAAATTTTATCATTTACGATATCCTTTTCTTGTCAAAGAAAAATAAACAGATATTAGAGATGAATCGAAGCCAAAGTCAAAAGCATTCATTCACGAAGTTACCTAAACTACATACATACAAAGTCACAAGTTAAAAACTAAAAGCTCTAAATGTACATGTACTACCAGTTCTCAAATCAAGAGCGTAGAACGAACGAGAACGATAGAACTGGCAATACATCTCCGTCATTCCTTTTACCGCCGAGTTAAACTTTACAGTCTTCACGTTTTTTAAGTGAACTACATGATGATGAGTCATAGGGGTTATTAAAAATGTCTTAAATCAATGTCTAAGGCAATATTTTATATTTTATTGGAAGTTGTCAAAATGAAGACCCACCGTTCAGCCTGCAACTCCCCGCATACAGCTACAACGGCTTGCACACGCTCCTCATATGCAAATATGTCAGTCTCGATAGCCTCGTGCTTCTTGGCGGCTGCTTCAACCGCGGTCAAGTCAAAACCGAAGTTATCCTGGCTAACGAGGCGCTGGTTCTCTGACAGCCAAGTTTCACGCATTTGGGCTTTGCGGTTGAACCTAATAAAAGCAATTAGTCATATTCATTATATAACATCCAAATTACCTATTTTAAGAGCTTCTATAGTACCTTAACTCAAATAATATAGTAAAATTTAAACTTTTGAAACCAATGACGAAGTTTACAAAGTATGTAGCCTACATTGCTAACACAAACAGAGCGTGTTAAAGATTTTTTTTGGCTTATGTGGTTGACCTGGACAGAATTCCGGATGGTCATCAATGGGTACACTAACCTAGCAGCAAGTTGCTCCAGTTTTTCCTGCCTAATGAGCTCTTCCCTAAGCGCCAATTCCCGTTCATGCTCAGCTTTTTCGAGACGCTCCCAGGCGCGGTTGATGTCGTGAATCATACGGCCTTCACGGGGCGTGTAAGGCTTCTGGTTGGCGGCACGCATGCGCGACTGCAGCGTGAACAGCAGAACCTCCAAATTGCCTTTCTCCACGAACCTATACATAATAGAGAATTAGCAATTAAGAAATAGTTACATCCGATAATCCGGTAATCCGATTAACATAGACAAAAACATCTAAAGTAAACTAACGTGAACATTAATATGCTAAATAATTATTATAAGCTTACTTAGGTGGTTTTTCAACAGTACGATAGTTGGCGAACTGTATGAGTTGCTGTCGGACACCTTCCAACGAATTCGCGAATGTTCTATCACCGAGTGCTTCGATAGTACGCTCGATCCATTGGAGAAGGTCACTGAAAAATAACAGAGAACATTACTACAGCTATAGAAGAAATAAAAAATGATAGTCATGACATACTTCTTAGAGATGTTTAAACTGGGATGAAGGTTTAATCGATACTAATTTTATCGATACAGCATAGATGGTAGGAATATCGAAATTCCCTCGTTAAGAACCATCATCCTCAGATAGAAGTTTCTATTTCAATTTGTGGAATTCAAAAATAGCTCGGCAGCGCATCTCGTTCTCCAAGTTCTGTGGCTGGGATATTCCACCTTCCATCAATGAGATCCTTTGCTGTCTATCCTCCTTTGTCGTTAAAAAAATACTTAGCTTAATATTCTAGTTCGTTACCTGGTAAGCGTCTCATATTCGTTGATCATCTTGTCGTTTTCCATAGCGATGCCTACGACTTTTCCAATACGTTTGCCCTGAACGGTCTCCTGCTTCATCTTGCTGAAGTAGTGGTAGTACGTTACCACGTAGGTTATGATCGATTTCTCATCGGGATGCTCAACTGCGATATCTATAGGACAAAATTGTTTTTAGCATATAAATAACAGTTTATTATTATATAGTGAAAGATTAACAATATTTAAAAAACATTTAGGCTAATGTAAAGGCTGGTAAAATAATGTAATTTTTAAGGATTAAAAAATAAATAAGTAAACATATTTAATTACAAAGAAATAGATGGCGTTAGCGCAGTAGTTTAGACTTTGACTTTAAGGGATGGCCGTCTTTACTCCCTCCTCCGTGACTACACAACGCACCCAAAACTTCCGGAACGTCGGGTCATAGTTAAATAAAAAAGTTAACTTTTATATTTTGACTTTTATAGCGTTGAGTGTTTTATTTTAAAACACGTTCATCATAAGCTATGACGATTATTTTGTGCTTGATAAAAACTGCTTTATTTAATACTTATATAAGTTCTTGGAAAATAGCACCTCTATTTACCTTCAGCATCCAATAGCTTCGTAAGTCCAAGTTTATCTTCAGCGACGTTGAAGGCGTTATTCAGATTATGCATTGGGTTGTTCCTGTGCAGTTTTTCGAACTGAATCAGGTCTGGTCTGTGTTTGTGTATGATCGCATTGAAGGCGAGACCATCACGCCAGGAGGTTGTGAAGTTGCGTACATTCACATTGTTGTATCCGGCAGTTTTCATTTGACACCACAGCAGCAGAGCGTCCTTGGCGGATTTTGTCTCTTTATTGTCAGTTTCTTCAATTGTAATGTCTTGGATCTGTAATGAAAGTCGAAAAATACATAGACCGAGGGTTTTCTTTTTACTACCACATCCAATCACAAATAAGGATTGCAATTGGCTATTTGTGCGAAAAATATAGCGTCAATAACAAACAATATTATATTAGTTCAAAAATAGTAAAAAATTTATTTTTTTTAATTTGTCACGTGACACAAAACGCTTCTCATTGGTCGGGTTTATGATGCCGTCATTTGGTTACAAACAGTGCTGTAAACCACCGTGCTTCTGTCTTAAAACTTTTCTATTCTCTACATTAGTAAATAAATAAATATATTACTTATTATTACTTCAATCACTAATGCATGCAGATTGTAGATCATATGATCAACATACACCAATAGTCGAGACGTCATCGCCCGTATTTTTGATATCTTTCGCCAAATATATCCGAATTCAAAAATACTTTTTTGGGGTTCCTTAACAACAATCAGTCAAATAGCCCATTACAACGAGTGCAAGTTTAAATCACAAAATGTAATTTAACAAGCGTATTTAAAAAGTTTTATCATACCTGGAAACGGAGAATGATCGTCCATATGAGACCGAGATTAAGTCTAGGGTTTCCATCAACGATGTCATGAGAACCCATGTTCTCCAAATGCACTCGCTGCTCCCTCAGGAACTGCAGAGCTTTGTCAACGTTTTCAAGGCAGTGAATACGCATTTTGCCCTTCGTCGGCCGAGGCTGGAGGAAAGAATCACTCTTATTAAGTGGCAGGAAAACATTATATTAATTTACTAATACTGCATATTCGATTTTATGTTAGATGTAATCTAAATCTTTTAAAACTATGTTTTGCTTCTAAGTTTTTTTTTTATGATAGACGAGGACAGAGACGCATAGGGCTCATTTGATGGTAGGTAAAATACCCCAGCCATATAACACAATCCCGGATACAACCGAATCTAACAATCCACGGACTGCAAACCCGAAACGCGATTATAATTTACGGCTTTTTCATCTGTCTACGGTTGTTCGAGAACCGAACGGAATTTCGACATTCCTACCACCTATTTAATATCCAGATTTCCAGACGAAGATGACAGACCCGGGGGGACCCGACCCATTGTTGGTTGTTAGATTGCTCCTATTACACCAACGAGCCCGTAAAATGTTGTAGGTAATTGGTAAATATTCTAATAAGTACTACTAATTATTTAAGAAAATTTTGTCATTGTAAATGAGCCAACTTACCAATCTCTCTCCAGACAGGACCTCCAGCAGTTTGATCAGCATCTTTCCATCTCGCATGTCCACGTAGAGGTCGCCGATGCGGCACCCCACGCGCACCAAGTGCGAATTCACCCATTTTTGAAACGTTTTCTTTTGCACGCTTTCTCGTTCGTCTGGAAACGTTGAAGTCACCATATAGTTTAAAACTCATCTTAGTACCTAAACTATTTTGTAAACACCGAGAGGGCCATACAGATTACAGGGATCTCAAAATGTTGTATATAATAAGAAATATAATGAAAGTTAACACATCAACTGCCAGTGGGGCAGGCCGCGGCGAGGGCACCTGAACCTCACCCTCGGGGGCCCGCAGCCGTCCGGAGCATCCAGCGACATAGCACCAACTCACTCAACACTAGCAAACGATATCGCACGTAACATAAGACGATCGAATGTCGGCTCACAAGCGGAACTGGAGCGGAATGATCTTATGCAGTGATATCAAATCAAAGTATTCCATTTTTAAAATCCTAAGGTTTACAAAATAGCACCACTGCACTTACTCAAGCATACAAAATTGATGAATACTGTGTGTAGTTTACACGAGTAGACCTACACATTTAAATAAAACACTTAAACGATTTAAAACGCGATACATTTCAGTTAAACTTATTTGAAAACAATTTTTAACTATGATACGTACTTAAAGTGTTTTATTTTAAAAATAGACGAACCTCTAAGTTCTAGCACAACTTTGTCATAGTAAAGCTCCAAGCCCGGTACTTCTATGTCAATCCCTCTCTTAATGAGATCGTAGCACTCCGTTGATGTCATATCACCGGCGCAGACTGATCCGCAACTCTAAAGACCGGCAGCAATTAGAGCGACAAAATCCAACCGCTGGACAAGGATATTCGATACGCACGCTCCAGATGCCGCCAACGCCGGTTTAACGAACTAGAGATAGATCCTCATTGTGTTTCTTGCATACTCAACAAGTCTTTAATGCCCCGAGCTCATACTACAATAGCGCGGTTCCTAGAACGCGACACGATGATGACAAAACGGCGTCTCCGTGGTCCGCACAGATAATAAACTGAGGTGTTTTTATCGCACTTAGATAACTGATAAGTGCGTAGAGTTTTTGTAGATGAATAGTTTCGGAGCGACCAAATGTTTAGGATATCTGACGTTTATAGGGAAAAAGGAAACCGCTACGCGTTAAGTGATAAACCGTTGAAGCATGCTCCGTTACTACATAGCTTATTCTGAATATTGCAAATTAAATGTTAATAAAAAATTAATTAATACTGCTATTTGTTGTATTACACTGTTACAGTTATTCTATATTGTTCTTAAGATACACTGCATTGCTGTAATCGATGTATTTTATCAATCTCCTACATCGGCTGCTACAGCGTATCATTATCAACAGTACTTTATCACAAACATGATATCGCTATGTACTTATTTAAAAAATACATGTAAAATAACTTTATGTTGTAGTACAGTAGTATTTAAGATGTTACAGGTTTAAAACACGAAATGTATTAGTCGAACTAAAAATCATTCCAATACAGCCCGACGTTTCGGATGCTTTGCAGCAGCCGTGGCCCCGTGACTCGTGACGTTTTAAACCGTTAAAAGTGTTTTAATATAAGTTAATATCTAAGAAACAATTGAATATTAGTGGAAACATCAGGAACTAAACATTTATAGTAATAATTTCTAATTAAAATGAAAGTTGTAAAGGCACTTCAAGATGGGTCCGATTTCTATACAAGTTTTTGTGGACAGAAGTCTTTGATGTGCCGAGTAATAAAATTCAGTTTTATGGGTTAATTAATGATAAAAGACGTCGCTTCCTTGTCAGACAGTTCATCCAACTGTCGTTAAGTTTACGCAATAATCAACGGAAAGTACTAACAAGTCATTCAAAGAGATGATTATTCTATTATGACAAAAAGTATTTAAGGATTTTTTAAATAAAATTTAATTGCGAAATTCTGTTCTGTCCCCGTGGGGATCGAACCCACGTCCTGCTGCTTATTAGTCATACATCACTACAACTAGATCAACGAGCCAGTCAACAAAAAGAGATATAGATTAATGAATTAATTGGGTTATGATACAAAAACGTATTTAATATAATGAATTGGTATAAATTACCAAACATTAAAGGTAAGACAATAGCATGGGACAATTCTCAGGTTAATAAGTAATCTGCTTTAAATAAAACACCTTTAACGGTTTGCAACGAAAAATATATTACTTTGTTAACTTATTTACGTAGAACTGTGGTCACTCCGACACCGCGTTTGCTGCAAGGCATCCGAAACGTCGGGCCGTAGTTAAAATAAATTCTATTTAAGAAGGTAAGTTAACTAATACATTTCGTGTTCTAAACCGTTAAAAGTGTTGTTCAAATGTTTACTACTCACGTAAACTACAGTCAATACTTAAGTAAACTAGTGTAAGAAGTTTACTGAGAACTTTATCACTTAAATAACTAGAACTAGAATTGGAAGACTGTGTACCTGCAAGCGCCTTAATGCGCGATCGTTCGAAAAGCCTCGACGACGAGTTGCCGCCATCGTACTCGATCTCATCGATGATCTCTTGCCCGTGGCCCTTGGAGGGATCCCAGCGGGATACCGATATATCGGTCGTCATAGCGACCTGATTCACCTCACCGCGCCACAATCACTTCTGCAAACAAACACAATCAACATTAGATTTGATATGAATAATATAGTACTGGCTTTCCTGAAATTGTATACGTCATCTGCATAATAAAGCATTAGGGAAATGGATGAAGTGAAATCCCTTTGTCCCCCTAGGGGTTATGGGCGAACACATTTCTGTGTCCGTTTCACTCATCGGTTTAACTTTAAGGCAAGTGGTTAAACATAATTCTGTGTCATGCCTGACCGAACTATCTATTATTTTCTCGGGATTTCAACCCAGGACCTCTCTCTCGCGTTTACTGCAATGCTAAGCAACAAGTATAACCATTTAGCAACAGAGGTCATAAACACAAAATGAATAGGAAAATATTAGCTAACCGTTCGCATGTACGCAATGTAATCGCTTTAAAACTTTAAATAAATAAACGTGAATTCTCAAAGATTTGTTATAACCGGCAACTACGAATACTGATATAGTGATAACAACAAATGCACAATAACCTACAAAGAATGAATAGCGACTGCTCGAAGAATTAACCTAATTAATTATAGCCGGTAAGTAGATACGATTATTAATGATATAATATGAATACAGTCACAAAAATGTTTATTCAAAGATTCTCATTAACGTTATAAATACATTGATCCTCATCCAATCAATATTCTATTTGGGGGCAAAGGCCTTTTGCAACAAGGAGTTTTAAAAGCTGAGCATAGGTTAGACCCACCATGGTGCTTCTTGTTCGGGACGATGGGCTATAAACGACTATCGGACTAGACAAGTCGTGACGACCGGGGCCGATTGGTTAACATGATCTTCGAGGCACAAAGTGAAGGTTCATACAAAGGTACATTTCAAACTGTAAACTTTTTAAATACATTTTACACAACCCAGACTTCCGAGACAAATACAGGTGTAGCCAAAAAAATAAATAAAAAAATAATGTACCTCAAAAATGACAATTTACCTGTAAACTATCAGACAACTAAATCCAATATTCTTACACCATCTATTTATATACACTACAGTGTAGTGAACGAGCCAAACCCATCGCAAAACTGCATATTCAGGTACATATTTTCGTTCCACTGGTGACGTCACAGTGAAGATAAGATAGCAGTTATTGGAGCTCGTTATCTCAAACTGATTCGAGTGCAATTAAATAAAAGAACAAGCGCTTATGTCTCGTAATATGAATTTTGCAATCTTGCGACGCTATTGTTAAGCGTTGGTAATATGTGAATAATGGACGATAATTAGTTTTGTGCGAACTACTCGATTTGCAGTTTCAAAACTAAATGCTCTCAATCACTATGCATTAACAAGACCTCGACTAATAAAAAAAATAAATGTATTTTTTTTATGACAGTAGGTACTGCTCTACTCTTGTACAAAAACGTAGTCAATATCTATTTTTGTTTTTTATTATGATTTATTCTATTGTTTAAGTAACTAAACACACGTCTTTTGGATCTGTATGTTTTATCTTTATTTGTCAAAGATCTAGAGATCACTGAGAGCAATAGAAGGGTGTCGAGAAAAGTTGAGGACACTCAAAATATTGAAGGCAGCGTCAGCAGTTGTTTTGTTACCATTATCGGGTTTGAAGTGACCCTTGAACTTTTTTTATATCCTATTACAATAGATTCCGTACATACAGGCGAAAAAAACGTAATTTTTCGACTCACTAGCACATTTGAAATAATTAATAAAAGAGCATAAGTTTAGGTAATTTAGGAATGATCAAATTATCAATGGATGGGTTAGAATTGGAGGCAGAGAGGGCTGGGCATTGTTGATGGTCGGTAGTCGGCGATCTTAGAATATTTTGTTATTGGTGGCCCAAAAAAAAACAATCACTAACTTATCTTCATAGAATGTGTTCATTCATAACATACAGAAGTGGTGGCAACAAACTTAACTATCATTGAGAGAGATTTCATAAAAAACGATGACTCACTTAGCCATAATTTGGGCTAAACACGTGAATATACATCGATAATTCGTCTCTGACCTTCTTCAACAATGGTCTCACTATTTGCCCGAAGGTTATCGTATTGACCAACTGTAAATATCCGTTCTATCTGTTATATAAATAGATGAGATTTCGTTTTAACCCAATAGGATTAAGTTGTTATAAAAGGACTTGGCGTTTTCAATCTACCTAGTTTCCTTCGTCGATGACTAATACAGTCGTGAGAATATTTTTTTTTCTCAAAATAAACTATAATCGCATGAGAAATCGCATGTTAACTGCAAATGATGAAAAAATGGAGTTGAATACAATTGTAAAATATTCATTAACATTTACTAATATATGTATAAAGCTAGAGTTTGGTTATTTGAACGCGCTACTCTCAGGAACTGGTGGATTCTAGCGCGGAAGGTTAAAGGCTATAAAACATCGCGCTGCGACAAAAAGGAGCGAAGAAACAGCGGGAAATGGACAAAATGCGGAAAATTATTCATCTTTAAGCGTTGGCGTCGCGTGCGCTGCGAAAACTGTTCCAGGAACCGAAAAATATGTATAAAATAATGATTCCTCTTAACGAGCTGAAAATTGTTCGCGACTGTACTCGTCTATCTTTTAAGATTTAACTCGTAAGAACTGAACGTAACGTAACGTAAGAACTAAGAACTATCATTCCCAATGATTAAAAATAGAGTTGCACCATAAAATATCATTAATCTTGCCAATTGCAAAACAATGTTTGACGGATTAGCTAGTGTATACTAAGACATTTTTATTTTCACTTACATAAACCAGCTTAATCCAAACCTATAACTCAAATCAATTACTATTTATAATATTATGAGCAACTTCATGAGTCATCTAACGATGGTCATTAAGTTACGATATCGCCTACATATTTATAAGATACTTATACCAATAAATTACGTAAATCATTTATGTTTTGACTAGGTACATATTACATACCTTTATACATTTGCTTTTTTAATTAATTAATTTATCCTTAATACACCAGTGGTACACTTTTTAGGATACTTGTGTAATTATGAATTTGTGACTACAAACCCGTGTGTTTAAATTTATTTTTTACATAAATATATTGATCGAGTTAAATTTTACAATAAGGATTAGTTATGTGTACTAAGCGTAACTTTTTGACGGGCTTATTCGTGTAATAGTAGGTATGTATGGCTAATAATCAATGGGCCGTGGGTTTGATCCCCACCAGTTTCCAACATTTTTGAATCAATTTATAAATTTTCTGAAACATGTTGGACTTCGTCTGGAAATCTGGATATTAAGTTGGTAGGAATATCGAAATTCCATCCGGATCACGAACCACCGTTACAGATGAAAAAACCGCGAAGTTTTATCGCGCTTCGGCTTCAGTATGTTCATTTCCGAACAGCCAAAATATGATGTGTAACTCACCTACATCAAGCGAACCTCATGCCTTACATCCTCATCTATCATAAAAAAGCTTTTGACTGTTGATCTTGTACTTAGTAGGAGTTAATCTATTTGAAAAACCATCTTAGATTGAAAGTATCGAACAAAGCGAGTAGGCACAATAGTCACGGCGGGAGGTCATCGACCCGGCCACAAGCAGACATGGCGTCGTCGATATCATGACGATTAAAAAAGTTCATGTTATAGATTATGTTGGAAAAAACAGTAGCATAGCACGATAAAATATCTATGCGCATAATAGACAATTTGTAAGTCGGTCAAGCTCTACAATGCAAATCAGTAAAAGCTCATCATCATGAGAAAGGAATTTTCGAGAGCTTAGGACGTATAAAGTAAATTATTGTGAAAGCTGTAAAGGTATCTTTGTAATTGTAACATTAATATCATCGTATCATTAAATAAAAACAGTTCATTAGCTTCTAACACATCTAGGACGACCATCAGCATTGCACTGATCAAAAAAAAGTAGCGGGGGCTTCCTTTGGAAGAGGTTTACGGGCTGTAATGACGATGATGTACCCTAATTACATCAAAATACTAATTCCTGTCTTCTACGACAATCGGCTGATAAAATTAAAATTTCTATTGCGTTTTTCACTTGCGTACAATACAAAAAAGAAAATAATTACGAGGTAACTTACATCCAGACTGGCATGTGTAACGCGTAGCTGGTTACCATTTGTAAGAACAACATGTAAGTATTCACTTAATAACAACCCCTCGCACCTTTGAACTCCACTGTAAGTCCTTCGTTCCGTATTTCATAGAATAAGTGTACTTAAAAAGCCCGTGAAAATTGCGTTTTTGAAAAAGGAATCCAGACAGTGTTACGTCATCCCCCCTCGTCTGGTTGACGTCACGCAAGCTCTATTAAGGGGGCCATAATAGTCGGGTTATAAACCGCACAGTAAACAATAATGATTCAGCAATTCTGAATGATAACTGCATTGAAATAAAGTCTCAAATTGCACATATCCCCACAATAGTTCCACCAGGAGACAAGTCATTCCGTTTCGGAAAACGGATGTCCTGCTTCCGGAATCCGACGACTTAAGCACTAGAGTCTAGATAGACTTGAAGATTGATGGCTGAGCGCTTATCAGATAATGACTTCGATAGTTATAATACAATTAAAAAATATAATACCCGGTCGTTAACAAGCAATTTGTTTACGCTCAATAATCTACGTAATTTTATTAGAGACTAGCTGTGCTCGCGACGTCGTCTGCATCGTCGTCCTTGTTAATCTTAAAAGACAGACATTACTGTTGACATTTTGTGAGATCATTTAAAGAAGAATTATTCTTTCATACATATTTTTGCAGGGCACGCACGGAAGCCCTCAAAGATAAATATTTTTACCTGATTTTTCTACATTTCCCTCTGTTTCCTTGCTGGTCGCATTCATATGTTATAGCCCAAAGCCTTCCTCGATAAATGGGCCATTCAATACAAAAAAAAAAACAATTCGAACCGGTAGTTCCTGAGATTAGCGCGTTTAAACAAACTCTTCAGCTTTAAAATAATAGTACGGATAAATAGG